TATAAGGTGTTTGCCACTAGTGAGCAGCAGGCACAACTAACAAAGCCTTCATCTTCCGGAGTAGGAGAGTTTAGTATCATAAAAACACAAAGCAGTGTGTTAGAAAGGACCATGTTCTATAGCTTTCTTGTGTTTTTGTTAGAAAAAGAAATTGTGTAGAAGCAGCCATGGTTTATCCCCATGCAAGATAGAAGCCCTGTCATTCAGTAAGCAGGATGCACTCATCTTGTCAACACTGATAACCAGAAAGAAGACGGGACACTGATCCTTCTGACAGGATGCATCAGCACCACCCTCTGACAGGGTAATTCCTACACGCCCTGGCAGGAAGGCCCTAGCCTTGTATGTGGGGTCCAGAAGTAGGGTTGCAGTGTAATTGGCTTTTGTGTTTAGGATGGGAAGAAAAATGGAGTTAGATGCTGTCAAATAATATTGTGAAAGAATTGTGAACTACTGAAATGCATTTCCAAGTGAGTATTTGGATATGCCTATAATATATATATATATATATATTTTTTTTTTTTTATATATGTTTATATATAGTTTATATATATACAGTTTTTTTTGTCGGTCATGGGCTTGAACTCTGGGCCTGAACACTGTCCCTCATCTCTTCAGCTCAAGGCTAATGCTCTACCACTTGAGCCACGGTGCCACTTCTGGTTTTCTGAGAGAAGAGTCTCACGAGGCTTGCTTTGAACCACAATCCTCAGATCTCAGTCTCCTGAGTAGCTAGGATTACAGGCGTGAGCCACTGGCACCCAGTATATATATGTATATATATGTATTTTTAAAAAAATAAAAGTGCTGTATGTAGATCCCTCTTGAAAGTAGAGGTTTTGGTTATATGATCCCAAAGATATCCATTTTATCTTTTGAAATTCCTCTAGAAATATACAATAATGGAATGTATTAGTTCATGTTAAATGGGAGTTGATAGATTTAAAACATAGAAGACTCTTTATATATGTTCATATAGGTTAGAAAGCTTCTTTTTGTATATCTAATATCCCTCTGGAGAATAGGACTGAGTAGTCTCTAGTGCATCTGAGGGTGTTCCTTCTTAATGGCTTGTTTTGAGCACTCCAGTTAGAAACTCCAAAGTAAATTTTTATTTTCTTTGGTTCGGTTCTCTTTCTAGTCCCTGACAACTGATGTCTTTGTGTCATTTGGGGGGCCTTAGATTACCAATCTTTGCCTCTAGGTCACAGATTCCTGGTCCCCTGTCTGTAGCCAGTTAGGTCAAAGGAACAGCCAGCCGATAAGAGCTTGGCACCAGACTTGAGGCAAGCAGCCCATTGGAGGTGATTTTTGTAACAGTGAAAGTGCCCATTCTGGAAACACAGTCCCAGTCCTCATCACAGCAAAGCAGATGTGCAGCATCAGTCAGATGAGAAAACTTCTTGGCTTCCTCTGGTTTTCCAGTGGAACAACGGGGTTTTCACATGTGTCTGCTTTTTCTTTTACTGGCTTCTGTTGTCACATTCAGGTAATTTTTATTATATGTGATAGGATATTTTAAAGTCTATATACTTTGTGGAATAGTTAAAGCCGGCCACCAACAAAGCATCTTATCATTTCTCAGTGAGCACACACGCTCTTTAATTAGATCTGGTTATCATTACTTGAAGTGGACACATCTACAGCCCTGTGGTCCTCCGCAAAGGATGTGATCCCAGGAAGTGGGGAAGCTTGTCCTGAAGGAAAGGCAGCCCGGGAGGGTTTGTGGTCAAGCCAGTCACCACCATAGTAACCTGGCCTTTAGTCATATTAGGAAATGTGGGGAACTAGAGCATTACAAATTGACGGATGAAGGAGTTAAGGCACTTATATAAGATTTCTTTAACCAAAGACAGAGAGCAGCACAGAGGGCACATTAATTCACCGGTATTTCATTCTTGACACTGAAGATACAAAGGCAGCCACCAACCTTGGTAAGAGGCTGTCCGAAGGTGGAAGGAAGTGTACTACAGACACAGCATGAGGAGAGTTCCCCACGCAGACCTGCAGCGCACCGCATGGTGAATGTGGGAGTGTCTTTCCTAGTTTTGGCTGTGTGATACAGACATAATGTGGGAGTCCTTTGTTGGTGTGAGGAAGATTTGTCTGTAACTACCTCCTCCTGCTGGCTCAGACAGCAAATGGATGAACAGGAAGGAGATTTGGAGTGAACCTTCCTGGAATGTTTCTGAATGAATGAACTTTCGGAGAAAAACGCTGCTCTTTATTGAGCTGAGGTAAAATATTGTAGCTGCATGATAACAGCCTGCCACGTTACAAATCAGCCCTTGCTGGGTTTTACAAGGTTCCTTTAGAAAAGCTAAATGAATTACTTCAAATAATATGTTTGCATTCGAAAGGGAAATAGCTGGTAGTTTGGGAGTGACAGTCTTTTCTTTGGGTTTCAAAAGACCTGCTGCCAGGCTCTGCCTTGCCTTTGCTGCTGAGCTGAAAACATGCATGAAGCAGGTGAATAGAAAACATTCACAATGAGAAAAAAAATGGAAAAGAAATTTTCTTAAATAACTCCTAAATGTCTCTCATTCTACCATTGTGATATTTATAGACTTTGGAGTTTGGCTTAACTAAATGCAATTGAAAGTATAACGTAGCAGATTTTTTGTCTAAAATTTTTCTCTATTAAATTAAAAAAATTGCATCTTTAAACATTGAATCTGGAAGAGTCTGTAAACAGCTACTCTCAAAATATACCCACCCATCTTACCCCTGCTCCCCTAATTACCCATACCTGTTCTTTTTTCCCATCAATGTAGAAGTCAATTAATTAGAAAGTCTCCTTTGTAATTTAGGAAAAGAATCTTTTTCATAGGATGCCAATGCAGGATGAAGTTAGTTTTGTGGTCTGTTTAATGCATCTCTCCTATCATTTTCCAATTTATTATTTGTATATCAGTAATTTATTTTCTACATAAGTAATGTACTATATCTTGCACCTCTGAAATTTTCAGGGGCTCTTATTGCCTCTCTCAATTAAGTTTTTAGCAAAACTTTCAACCTAGTGATTCCTGGATAGTTGGTGAATCCAAGCTCATGAAAATAGTTTCCTTACCTTTACTGATATTAATCAAAGGTATATTTCCCCTTATTACTTCTTTGGAATTATTTGTGTTTATAATTTATTTTCATGTTTGATGGGATGATTAATATGGGAACCAAGAGTCCAGTTTACTTATGTGAAGCTTTACCTGTAACTCCCAAGAATGCAGTAATACTGTTTGACCTATTGGAAAACAGTAGGTATAATAAACTAGGTAGTAAAGAAAAATGTAATTCAGATACAGAATTCAAAAAAAATGAAGGCAAGATGGACAGCAGTGATGTCCAGATTCAGCTGTGTAACTGCACTGTTAATACCTCAGGAGATGCAAAGCCAGCCTGCACTACCCAATAAAGTAAGATGATCGACGGCCATCACTAGTTCTGTATGAGTTCCTGTAAAAAGAGACAAAAAAGGAAAAAGAGATAGCAGAAGATGAAGGCTACCATAAAGGTTGTTTTGGGTTTGTTCCAACTTACATAATACAAGTGGGTTTTACCTGAGTTTTGGTAGCATGCCTGGTATTCAGAGATAGGATATCAGGATATAGGAATAAAATCCCCCAAATAGGATTAGTAACAATTCACAGGCAAACAGTGACTGTTTCTGCAGTCTGTGTGTGTGTGTGTGTGTGTGTGTGTGTGTGTGTGTGTACATGTGCACGTGCGTGCGCACGCGCACACATGCAGAACAAGAGCAAACATAGTTTACAAGAGGATTTTAAAGGCTGGAGCCTTGTTCTGAAAAGCCCGAGTCTGACTTCATGCTCTGTAGCCCTCATCTATATGAACTGTTTGTTAACCTCTGTGCTTCTTTTAATTTCATCTTTTCATCTGGAAGATTGTGAAGCAAGCTGTGCGCCAGGTGGCTTACGCCTGTAACCCTAGCTACTCAGTAGGCTGTGATCTGAGGATCGTAGTTCAAAGCCAGCCTGGGTAGAAAAGGCTGTGAGATTCCTATTTCCAGTAAACCACTCAGAAAACCAGAAGTGGCACCGTGGCTCAAGTGGTAGAGTGTTAGCCTTGAGCTGAAGAGCTGAGGAACAGCGCCCAGGCCCAGAGTTCAAGCAAGATGGTGAAGCAGTAGTTTCTACCTCACAATGCTATAGCGGTCTTAAAAAAAATCCCTCCTCATTGTGATGTGGTAACCCATCTGGAATCCAATCAGTTGTGTTCTTGTAATGTATAGCATGGCTCTCTGATTCCCAGACTGGTACTGCTAATGCCGTAGGGACAGGACGGAGTAGCAGATACCTTGGCACTTCTCTGGGCAAGGCACTGTGGCTCTTCAGCCATGTGTGTGACAGGGCATGTGGAAGATGTGTTTGCAAATTGGAACCTCCCTCCTGCTTTTTCTTTTTCATGTTAGACAGTGCTGCAATCTGTAGTAAATATGTTTTCATGATTATGATTCTCAAAATGAGTTGTTTTTTTGTTTGCTGGTACTGGAGTTTGAACTCAGGATGGATGTCACTTCCATTCGACTGCTTGCTGGGCCAGTACTCCACTACTTGAGCCATGCCTCCAGCCTTGTATTTTTTTGCTGGCTACTTTGGAGATGGAGTCTTTAGTACTTTTTGCATGGGCTAGATTCAAACTATAATTCTCCAGAACTCAGGTTCCTGAATAGGTAGGATTATAGGTGTGAGCCACTGGCACCAGGCTCTGGGTATGGCCTTGAGTCATAACCCTGTTTTCAGAACTCAGGGGCAAATAAAAAAATGTATTTTCATCACCCACAGTTCATGATTTGCCATGTAATCTATCAGCACATAACACAAGTTATTGGTATGGTTGAACAATAGTTTTATGGCAGTGTCTTTACTTTTTATAATTCCTCTTAGTCTTCTCCATCAGCTGCTTTCAGAGGTTTCACAAGCGTGAGTCTGTTGGCCCGTTCTCCAATCCCACACTGCCCCCGACCCGAGTATAGGTGAAACGCAATGTCTTCCATGACCCTGTACGGCCTCACACCGTCGCCTGTCTGTCTGACATACCCTCCTCTCAGCGGCTCATCTGGTCACAGCGGTGAGTTCCTCTCTTTTGGTCATCTCTTTTCTTTTCTGCAACCGTCTGCATGGTGGCATCTCTTTTGTCACCTTTACCCCAGGCCTCATCTTCTTCCTTTTGTTACAACCTTTTACTTTACTGAGGACATTTGAGGCTCTGATGTGTGAACTCTGACTCCTTACTGCCTGTTTCCTTTGGTCTTCCATCCCTACATGAGACTTTGTTCCCAACTTTAAGGTACCTAGAGAGTATCTGAAGGAATGAGCGTGTGCCCTTCAGAAAGGTGACCTTATGATTCCATCATCACAGAGCTCCCCAGGAGTCAGGACTCTGATATTTGACCCTAAAGCCTTCTGTTCTCTGAGGTGCTGGTATCTATAACAGGTATGCGCTGCAACAGACACTGAACAAACTGTGGAGTAAAAGCTGTTGTGTTATAGCTAAACGGCGTTTCCCATCTATAATTCTAGCTCCTTGGAAAGTGAAGATTGAGAAGACTGGGCTAGATTCCATCACAACAAACAAGCCAGGCAGGTGGGGGTGAGTCTGTAGCTCAGGCTATGCAGAAGGGGTAGGCACTAGGATCAGGGTTGGCAATACCTAAAAAATACCTAACAGTACAAGAGGAGTGAGTATGTGACTTGAGTGTAGAGCAGCTGCCTAGCAAGTATAAGGCTCTTATAACCCAGAATCACAAATAAAAGAGAATATCTCTATCTATCTGTGTGTATATATATTGTTGGTGGTGGGGCTTGAACTCAGGGCCTGGATACTGTTCTTGAGCCTTTTTGCGTTCAAGGTTGGTGCTCTACCACTTGAGCCACAATGCCACTTCCAGTTTTTGAGTGGTTAATTGGAGATAAGAGTCTCACAGGGACTTTTTCCCTCAGGCTGGCTTTGAACTGTGATCCTCAGATCTCAGCCTCCTGAGTAGCTAGGATTATGGGGTGAGAATGTTTTTAAGAATGTATTTGGAATTATACAATTGTTCATCAAACATGTACCAAATGCTTTATGTACTTGTTGAAAATAAATGCTCAAAGATGCTAAGAGTGCCAGCATATCTTCACCACATCCTAAGATTCTATTTATTCCATAATCAAGCTTATAGGAAAATGCCAGTACTAAAACACACTACAAAAAGCATATCTTCTACCTAAATTCACATGTTCAGTATTCCTATTTAAATCATGACTCTTTTCTCTAATAATTCAGTGGGTATTAACTAAGAGTAGGCATACTTTTTATATAACTACAGTTCAGATGTCAACCTTTAACTTTGATATAATACTTTAATCTCCCATTCTTAATGCAGTTGTGCCATGGGTGCAATAATATCTGTCTGTATTTCATAAAGGCTCTATTTTTCTATAGAGACTCTAGCTTGAGATTAAATGTTTCATTATAAATTATATCTTTTTAGCCTTCTTTATTCCATAACCTGTATTTGTCTTTGATGTCTGGCATTTTTTAAGACTACAGTTACATCATTCCCCTGACATAATTTTATAAAGTAGGGAATTTACAAATTTATTCCATAATTAACTTAGATGAGATATTTCAAGACCATACAAATACCTATTTACTTATCAATTTAGTATCTGTGGATATTTCATTCTTGAGCATATTTTTACTGTGATGATTTAAGCAATGATTGTTGACACTCCAATATTTCCTTCACATATACTAGCCATTTTCAGCATTCTACTGAATTCTACAGCATTCTACTCTTTTGCTCCCTCCTTCCCTTTTTCCTTTCTTCCCTCCCTCCCTCCTCTTCCTTCCTTCTCTCCTTCCTGACTTATTTTCTTTTGATATAAGTACTTTGTTTTATTTGAAGTTATATCACTGTACATACCCTAAATTCGATTATAGGATTTCTCATTAGGAATTATCTATTGAAGTACAACAAGCAAATTGGTAGATCCCATTTTATTAGACTTCTAAGGCACTTGTCTGAGTCTATATAGGCTTAGACCAATCAAGGCTACTGTTTTACTGAGAAGTAAACCTCAGTAAATGCTCTTATTTACAGGAAATATCAAGAAAGAAACTGTTATATATGTTCAGCACATCTAAGTAAATGGTTTGTAATTCTAATATTAGTAATAGTGTAGGAACTGATTCTTTTTTCAAACCACTCTTACTTATCTGCTGGGAGAGTCTACAGGTGTGGCAATTGACATTGAAGAATTTCCCTATGGCAGACCTTGCTCCAGATCTGTTTCCACTTGTCATGTTAAACCATACAGAAGTATCTTCCTCGCATTTGACTCCAGTCCTCCGTGACAGGGTAGAGTGCTGCCAGATGGCACGGGACTCTTGTCTCCACAAAGCGTGTGAAGAAGCTGCTTTTAAAACAATTACTTTACCTTAGTTGTTTGAAGGAAGAGTGTATGGAAATGAACATTGTGGATTTAATCAGTGGAAGAGCATGATCTGTTTGTAACCAGTTTGAACTTCTCTGTTTAGAGAAGTGTTTTGTAGAATTCTCTGCATTGGTTCTCAGGACTGGGACACCAATGGCTAAGCATCTGTCTGTACTTGTTTTCCTATATTAACATTACTTAATATTTATGTGCTAAGAAAAGATAAAATACAAATTATTTTCCCCAAATTGTATTTTTCTTGTGAAAAAATTAAGTAGGCTTTAATGATGTAATTATCTAGATAAAATTTAGATATGTTAGTATCTGTGAGTTAAGACAAATATCCTTGAATATTTAGTACATTTCCTTTGAAAGTGATATTTAAAAACTTTTAGGTTAAAGTGCACTTTTATTAGTTTGCAAAATTACTCTGCAGTACACGTCATCAAATCTACTGTGGAAAACCTGTACAGTAAGAAATCTTTAGGATATAAGTATTTTCTGTATTTTTGATTATTGCAACTGTAAGTAATTATGAAAGGACATTCATATATATATTTATCATACTTCAGCAGTAGTGGAATGATTTTGCACACTTAGACAATCAATTATTCCAGATAATTTAAATAAAAATGGCTGGATGGACATGCATAAAGCATCTTCTAAAGTAGATTCTTCAGGACTGAATTATAAAAGATTGATGAGATTCATTACTTTTCTCCAAACATTTTGCTAACTGTGCATGTTCAAATGAAAACAATTATTTTTCCAAAATATTTAGGAATGGTAACATTTCAATTAGTTTTGTTTATCTCCTTCCTCTCTACTCTCCTTTGAGCATAGTCTTGTGGGTCTAATTTTTTTTTTCTAAATAGTGTCTTGTCTCCCATGGCTGTGTTTCCCTGTTTGTAGCAGTGGTAGTGAAAAATGATTATTTTATAATTATTTTGTATTATTTTTTCCCTTTGGGATTTTCCTCTAAGTCAGTTCACCAGTCTTTTGAAATGAGAAATATAATGTCATCATAAAAATGAAAATGGATCAAATATTTTGTTGGGCATATGTTTAAATACACATGGACTTACATAACTGCTTTTTCTTGTATTTGTAATTTTATATATTGAAATAACATGTGTCCTGTGTAACTGTCTTTTGACCATATAAAAGGAAATGGAAGCTAGCATAAACATAGCCATAATTTATGCTAATTCATTGACTTTATCTTATGGGTAAAGGACATATGAAATTAAGAGTTTAATGTTCTAATGTAGACAAATGACAGAATTATCTGTTTGTGTGAGACTTGTTTCCTAACTAGCAAGCCTATCTGAAAATAATTTATAGATACAGATTTGAAATAGAATATTTTAGAATAATTCACTCAAGAACATATAAAAGAAGACTCTTGCCACCTAGGAAAACTCTTCTGTACCAATAAATTGAACATTTCTTGGATTTGAATAATGAGAATCCTGTGAGCACTTCAAAAGGACACTGATGTCGCTCTACAACCTGTTCATTGATAAGACTTAGCATCATGATCTTCATCCAATCATCTACTGTTAGTAATAGCTGAAAAACTTGAACCACTGAGTTTGTACTCGTTACTGTGCAAAATACCTATGCCCTTCGTTTCTCTTCACAATCATTATTACTCTGCAAAGGTGAAGTTATCATTGGGGCTCTTTGACAAGACAGGGGTAGCAGACTTAGCCATTCAACCTAAAACAGTTTGTAAGTACACAGCTAAGTTTAGGGTCTAAGTTTTTCAGACTTGGATATGCATGAGATATTTGTAAAAACACTTTTATTTAGTACAATTCTATCAAAATGTTACTGCTTTTATTAAATTACTTCTGAAGTTGTGTGCTCACTTTTAAGTGACTTATATGATGACATTTATGAAACTAGATCTTGAAATTTGTAGTGGATTTGCATCCTTAAGTGGGTGGATTTAGAAATTTATCAGCGATGTAACCACAAGAGTCAGAGCATAGAGAAATATAATTTTCTCTATTTTTTTAGGGGAAATATACTATCTTTTCTCTGAGAAATAAATAAGTATGTTTGAGAATTAATTGATCAAATGGTCTTCAGTAAAGGGGTTACAGTTCCATAAGTCAGGTAGTAAGTTCAGTCAGTGCTTACCTCTTCTTTGCTTGACCCGGTTTCCCCCTCCTGTCCTTGCCCACAGGTTGCATTGTTCATTTTTTACATAGTGTATATAGAATACAATGACTACATTTGCTCATCCTTCCTCCCTCCATTGCTGTGTCCTTCCTTCCCCCCCCAAATGAAATTTGTTTTGATAAATAGGAGTTTTGATAAATGAGTTATGCCTTTGTGTTATTCCCCTAAATATATCCTCTTTTAGTCAGTATGTATATAAATACATAGAGCCTTGTATACGTTATCATGATGAGATGTGTTTTAGATCTGGTATCCACATAAGAGAGAAAAACCTGCATCATTTGTCTCTTGGAGCTTGGCTTACCTCACTTGTTCTAAGTGCATCCATTTCCCTGCAAATGACGTAATATTAAAATTCCATTGTGTATATGTACCACTTTTTTTTTTGTTCCATTCATCTATTGTAGGGCATCTGGGCTGTTTCCATACTTGGTTCTTGTGAGCAGTGCAGCCGTAAAT